TTACACTGCTCACACGATATTATGTTGCGCACTAAACAAACCCACACATACAGTTATTATCGCTTCATCCAAAATCACTTTGACCTACACACACCCTCTAGACAACCACACCATCGTTTTCAATTCATTAATTCCAAATACACTTCACCATTTTTCCTAAATTTCACATATTGTATTAAAGACACTAACCTCCATGGTATTCTTCGTAATTATGACCCCATAACCCAAATGTACATCTTCTGTCCCATCACCAAGACCTTCAACGCCGAAGAATCCCGACCCTTCCTTATCCCGCACGAGTTTGTACAACCTATAGAAATCCCAATTTTAGAATTCATCCACAACACTAAATTCAATCACAAATTATATAATCTAATCCAAAACACACCTTATGAGTTTGCAGTTGGCACTGAAGAACTAACCACTATTAAGGCACTTCAATTGCTTTGGCCACTGCTTCAGACTAAAAATATCATCCGCATCTTAGCTAAACTACTAACAACTTCAGAACTAATTCACGACATCTTCCCCCACGGTTTTTTCCCCGACGACTAACAGGTAAGTATGAATTAAATGAATATAACTAACTAATTAAAATATTAAAAAACTCACCATACTTTATCCATGTTTTCTTTAGATTTTTAGCCTTCATCCGACAATCACCTACAAAGACCACAAAAGACAAATAAAAATCGCAAATTTCATCAAACAGATTTCAAAAATTCTATTAATCTCTTACACTTATAACTTTATAAATTTAATACCAATGCAGTAAATTCATTTCTAAAATTTTCCCCACAAGCAGTAAATCTAATTATAATGAAAATTTGTAACTTAAAATTCCCCCATAACTAGCAGTAAATTTCCAAATTCTATGCAGTAAATTAATAAAATGCAATTGCAGTACTAACCTTTTGATATTTTCATTCATTCGCACAGAAATTCTATCCACACTCGCCCAGCTCGCCCACGAAGAATTGTTTAAAATAATGAATTTCAGTTTCAAGTTTTCACACTCAACAACTCTAACATATAATAACATGTTTCAAACCTTCCTTTAACCCGGTTGGAAAGGAATCATATACTAAACAAAAATAACCAACGCAGCTTACTAAATACCACAAATCATAGAATAACAGCATGACTAAGAAAAGGAAACCAACGGTACCCAAACCGGATTAACCCAGTTTAAAACTGGATAATTTATTCTTTTGAAGACTATTATAAAGTCTAAGAAAGAAATAATAAAACACAAAAAAGTCGAAAGACAAACCCATACCACGAACAATTTACTTTTTGGAAAAAGGACATAACCAACAAGACATAAGAAAAACCACAACAAACCCAACATAAAACGTTGTCACATAACAGGACCCCTCACAAAAACCGCATGAAATCATACTCCCATTCCTGGCCTAACCCACCAGGAAGGACGTCCTGAGCATGCTCTATAGCCGGCCTAACCCACTGCGCTACATCCACGCTTTGTGACCACACCTCTATTTTTAATAAGAGCTACTCAAGTGTGAGTAACTCTTCAAAATAACCGAACTAAAACAAAAAGCTTTTGTGAAAACAACTAACTAAAATCATAATTAAAAAATATTAAACTAATAAATGTTTTATAAAATGTAAATTACATTATGCAATACATAGATCAGAATACAACACCAAGGACGAACATCTAAAGACAAAACGACCCCACTACACTCGAGAGAGAATGACCAACCACAATCGATATGCCACTCACAATCACAACTCAAAGGATTTAGAGTACGACTTGACTTCGCAGAAAAGGACTTCATTGAACTAGACCAATGACCACCTCGATGTTCAAGTATACGTACAGATCCGAGTAACCAGGCATCCCCTCCACGCACAATCTCCACGCCATTCCCAAACTAGATCAGACACAAAAGAAGTTCTCCACGCAGAACAGAAAAACCTGACATAGCCAACCATTCTGAAATCAGATTTGAGTTTGTTGCGAAGACTTAGTCGTTGTCACTAGAAGACACAACGTCTTATGTCTCTAACTCCAGCTTCCTGAAACTTCTTTAACAAAAAGGAAACAGAAGAAATAAGATGTTCGCCAAACACCAACTTCCATCATCCATCCTTCGAATTGCAGAAGAACTATTCTAAAAAACTCTGTAAAACCCGGATGGGTGGAACCTGATCTAAACTACATTTTATGATTGGATAAATTAGATATTTTACCAATGTAAAGTATTTAATATTAACCAATCATGATCCATCTAACTAACAACCCACTTATTTGTAAGTGCTGAAGTTACTTGTAATATCAGCACCAGAGAGATTTGAATTTAACTTAGAAATTAGTTGGACTCTCCCGAGCACTTCAGCAGCCGCAATAAACCAGTATACCCTAGATCTATTGAGCCTAGCAGAGACTAGTTAAACAACCTGAGACTAGATAGTATAAGAGTAAGATTAGGATCGGTATTAGACTAAGAAGTTGCACGAATCTATCCGGCCGAAAATAAGATAGCGTGACGAGCAGACGGTGTACCCTATCCGAAATTACTCTATGAGTTAACCAACTCAAACCTAACTCACAAAGGAAAACTAATTTAATTTTGTCAAATAAAGACTAGACTGTTGCACAGTGAATTGAATTTGCTTCCTAGACATTATTTTTTCTCCAGGAATATTTTGCTCTTAAAATTTTTACTCAATACTTGGCTCTTATTTTTATACAACCGGATCACCGCTAGACAAATTGAAGACTGAATTTTACAGAGGCATCCTTTCGCATGATTTCTATCACTTTACAGATGTTTGAGCGGATTCCGCTAAAGTAGGACTAAAGTGTTGCTGCGTTTGTTTCTGTTACCGTTAGGCTGTAATAAGGTGTTTGATTTTGCTTATGTAGTTTCGGTGGCTGTGCGTATCAAAAGTAGTATCATGTTTTTTTTTCGAGTGCCTGGTTGTCTTGGGTTAAGGCTGTAGTTTGAAATTTGTAAGTCTGGCATTTTTGGGTTTTGGTAGTTTTTTTTTTCAATTTTATTTGACAAGGCTTGTCACCATAAGGTTTTGTGCGTTGTGGGACAATATTCTAAGTAAACTATGCTTTAAACATAGCTTGGAGTTACAAGGTTTTAGGTACAAAGTAATTAAATTGGGATCAATTGACAATCTCAACCCACATTGCCTCTTCGGGGTGGGGAGATAGCTCAATGGGTACCTGAAGCATGTTTGTAACCACTTGAATTGTTTCAATTACATTAAATAATTAGCCAGATTCTTCGACGAATGTGGAATACCAAAGTTCGAAATATCTCAAATCAAAAATTAGTTTCAGAGTGAAAAAAAATGATTTAATTAGTCACATATTATTGCTGACTTTTTTCTGATTTAGATGTAGAAAATAGGCAATAACGTGCATTTTTAAGGTTCGGAAGGTAATAAGTTTTGATATTTAGATACAAAGATAGAAAAGCGTCAGCCCTGATAGTTAGCTTTTTTCGAGAAATTGATTGCCCAACCAAAACAATTTTTAAATTTTCGTTTTTCCAAATTTTTCTTGACACTCAGTATTCAAAAATTTCAGTCGATCAATTTTCTGCATATGCTCATTGCACAACAATTCCCTGCTTGCGCTTGATTTGATAGTGCCGTTGTTGTGTTTTGCCGTTTTGCTCAAATGTTTATTACGTGTTGAGAAAGGAAGATTTTTACATTTTTACTAATGGAGTATTGAAGTTGGGAATAATTATTTTATCTCGGGGTTTTTTTCTTCATTGTTCAAGAGCAGGGTAAATAAGTAGGGAGCAAATAGATAGAGGGCTAAATTACGTTGGGTAAATTTGTAAGGCATCAAAAAAAAACAAACATTTAAAGAAAATTTATGAGAACTTACTCCTCGTAACATCGGGTTACATGGAAAGCTCGAACTTTACATACTAGCTTACCCGCATTAATTATTTTCGAAGAAAATCTTACATGAATTTACAACAAAATTATTGAAATTGTTCATGAGCACTTTGTATGCTTTTACACAGTTTGAAATATTCATCAATCCAAAAAATCTCTGAAGTTAAACAAATACGTTTATTTTGATTATCACAAAAATAAGGTTAACCCAAGACCGAACACCTACTGCATGATATGCTTTTTCTATTGAATCCGGTCAAATTTTTCAATCGACTTCGTATTAGTCATCTCTTTGTGGTCTTAATTAATTAGAGCTCATTTGGGACTAAACTTGAGCTGGCAGATCATAAGTCCAAAACACTCATTACGACGCCAAACTGCATTTTGTGAATTGTTAGCGGATTCCGCAACTAGGACCCCCCTTGGTTCTTTTTTTGTTCTTTCATTTTCTTCGATCATTCCGACAAAATTTTAACATGTTTAAAGACTTGTCTCTGCAACCCAGGGATACAAACTTTGTGCAGAAACAAAAATGTGCGCCTATCCTGTGCACAGTTTGGCCTCGTATAATGTTTATTATTGTTCCGACTTTCGATACGAAAGTAACGGAATATTTGTGCTCGGGGTGGGTTTTTTTTCTTCAGACAAATTTCGACTTGTTAACTAGCCGTTTTTGACTGAATTTTTTTATATCATTCGAAAGGTTTTGTTGTCCTGAGCTCAAATTTGAAAAAAATTTTTTTACCTGTGATCATTTTTCGTAAAGTAACGGGGGTTTAAATATTGTCATGTTGGTCAATTTGGGACAATTAACGCTATTAACGCGGAAGCGGAGAGTTAATCCGTCTTAGAAATTGTTCCAAATTGGTTTAAAGAAGCTTTTTGCCATAATTGATTTGTAACAATGAGCAAAATCTATCCTTTTGTACTTTATATGGCGTGTGGGGGGATGATTTTCATTAAAAATTCAAATTTTAGAAAAAAAAATTTCTTTTTGTTTTATTTCATTAAATTTTTCAATGTTATTAGTGCTCCATAAACCTTACAAGGCAGTCGGAACATTCAGGGCTTCGCCCTAATACGAGCAGTCTTGTTAAGATTCATTTTCATCGCCAATATTTGATATATTCAGAAATTTTTGTTAAACACGGATAGTTTTCAGGTAGTCGTAGAAATATACATTCAATTTTCAAATGTTAATTTTAAAAATAGCGGTTCGATTCTTTGTGCTCAATGCAGTTCAATTTCGTAACAAGGCAAAACCCGTCGCATGTTGAACATGACTATAGCCCAACCACGCCCATCTTCGTCTTTGCGCGCACGGTGTGAGTCACAGCCACACCCTCCCGTTTGTTCAGTCTGCCCGCAGTCTCCCTCGTACGATTTTCCTGGAAGAAGTTTGCAGAGAAGAAGTCTTCTGGTGTTCTTAGCGTAATCCAAACTGACGTTTGGCTTTTCAGAAAAGTAAATACCTTTTCCGTAAACGTGGCGCTGAATTTTAGTTACATCGAAGTTTTCTTGGACTATCTTGTCAATATTTTCTACACGGGATGTTCCGTGAAATGCCAGAATGAAGTCAGCATTCTTTGAGTTTGAACCTTGGTACTTTCGTTTAAGGGATGCCAATTCCTCTTCGAAATTTTTATCTAGTTCCGGATTATAGTGGTAAAATACTTTGGAAATTCTTGGAATGTTTTGAGCCTGATTATCTTGGGACATTAGTTGATAGTATTGAGCAGCAACTATTTGAAAGTGCTGATTTTTGAAGTCATCTGTCTGCTCTCGGCTCAATTCGAGTTCTATTTTTTGGTATTCACTTCCAATATATGGTGGCATGCTGGAACGATCATCTGCGTTTCTCAGGTGCAAAACAAATTCTGGCATGATTCTTGCCCGATTAAAAATTTTAAATGCAGACTTTTCGGAGTTTTGCGAAGAATCAACTACCACCTTACATGAATCATACTCTCTGAGTATTCTTTTGAGAACTTGTTTGGAAAAATTACTGTCATCTTTTTTGAAGCATTTCACTTTCCCCACCGCAACTTTACAGAGAATAACCGTTTTTGAATCTGAGCCGATCTCAGAGCCGTTGTCTTCGAAGCTAGGAAATCCTTCATTCAGAATCATAAAGTTTTCGTCGGAAAATTGAAATCCTTCTTCAACTATTTTTTGCAAGCTAAATTTTGTGTCAACTCTATAAAATATATCTTGGTGAACTCTTGCATTGGTCATTCCTTTCATTGAAAAGTAGAAATCTGCGAGCAGCTTTTTGTTGTGAATTTTTTCAATCTTTTGAAGAGAAAGCTTTTGTCGCTGCTCAAAAGTTTGAGCACTAGCAACTTTTTTGCATACCTGGGCAAATTCGAAGCAATTATCTTCATCAGCCAGAATCTCTTCCAAGCTATAAAATCTGGCCTCTGAATTTTTGCTGTCTTCAATCTCCTTCTCCATTTTTATTGCTTCTTTTATATGTGTTTCAATGAACTCTTTATTTTGCTTTTCAACTTCCCTTTTTTCTATTTCAACGCAGGTGATGCAGTTTTTTTTTGAGTCCGAACATTTTTCGAAGCATTTTTTCTTACAAAAATGTCCGCAATTCAATTTTTTGATACATAACTTCCAACACACATAGTCTTGTTCTTTTCCACTTTCGCATATTTGTTCACTTTTTTGTGTACATTTTTTGCATTCAACTAGAATATTCCATTGACATTTTTTCTCCATTTGTTCAGGATTTTGATGCTCATAGCATTTTCGGATTAAATCTTTTCCGCATTCTCTGCAATTTTTTGTGATAAGTTCGTTGCAAACGTCATGGTTGTGTTCGGGCTCACACTTTTTGTGGCAATTGTGACCGCATGGTTCGAAAAGGGTTTCACATTTTTCCTTGCAAATAATATCGGCAGTATTCTCAAAGCAAAGTTTTGATCTTATATGCGAACATTTAGAATCGTCGTTGTATGAAATCTCTTTCCTGCACTTGAATTCATCCATAGGAGTAGAACATTCTTTTTTGACACCTTTTTTACAATTAGGACATTCGAAATCAACATACGATTTGCACTGGATCTCTGAAATTGATTGGTGGCATTTTCTATTTAAGAAATTGTTGCAGCTAGGACATTTATCTCTAACTAGATAAAGACACTGATCATGTCCATGCGTAGGACTACACAAACTGACACATTTATGATTACAGTTTTCGAACTTGAACTCGCAATTTGCTTTACAATCAACTGATTCTGGACTGATGTAACAATTTCTGGTTCTAAAATGGTTGCACAGGGAAACGTCTTTGTACCTAATTATCTCTTCACATTTGTTGTGATCGTGCATTGGTTGGCATAGTTTGTCACATTTGTGATCACATTTCAGAAAAGGCATCCCGCATTTCTGTTGGCAAAACTCTATTTTTGGAAAATCTTCCGAAGTGTGCACGTGAATTTTTGTTTCAGTTCGATGTTCTGGTTTGGGACAAACAATTGTAATTTGTGGGCTTAAAACGCCATCGCTTTTTATCAAGTCAATAAACGTGACCCAGTTTTGGGCTTTCTCAAACATCTTTGAGTTTCCGACAAAAATTACTTGCCTCTTTGCTCTAGACTGAGCTACACATCTGCGGTTGAATTCTTTCATGAACCCAATTTTGCCATTGTTATTAGATCGGACGAGTGACACAATGATTATGTCATTTTCATCACCTTGGAACATATCAATTGTCTCAACTTGAACTATTTCTTTATCCTTATCGTCTTTTTCAAAAACTTTTTTCAAAGGAACGCTCCTCAAAGAGGACATTTCACGCTTGATTAAGCCTTTTTGCCCTCGGTAAGCAGCCAAAATGGTGATTTGTGTTGGCTTGTATCCTTGGTTGACCAGGAAGTTTGCCAGTTTTACGCAGCGTTTTGCTTCTTCTAGATTCGAGTAGCTCCTGGTTCCAATTTCTGGGCTCTCGTGATGCCAAAACAAAAAACTGTTTTCAAACTGTGGCACTGACACTATTTTGTGAACATTTGGCCCGTCCATCAAATCAGGGTAAATGTCCTTCAGGTACTTGGAAATTTCTGGTCGCATGCGGTTTTGAAGCTTCAGTTGAACATATGGTAAGTGACCTTTTATCAACCGCTCCATCATGGACACGTCAAAATTGTACTTTTTGACCAGTTCAAAGGTTTCTACGTTAGGACGCAGCTGTTGGTGATCACCGATCAGTATGAGATGTTCAACGTAAGGCTTCATCAAGGGAATCAGCTGTGCTTCCAAAACTTCTGCCGCCTCCTCGACTATGATGACAGCTGGTTTCAGGAACTCAATTAGTTGTCTGTTAATTGAAGCACCTGTTATAGTCATTCCCACGATTTTACAGTTTTGCAAAATTCCTGCGCTCTCCAAATTGTCGTCTTCTTTTGTCTCCTCGCATTTTTCTAAATATTCCTCGATCAGGTCATCTGCATAACCAGCATCTTCCTGCTCCAATTTTTTGAGAAGCTTCGACTGAATAAATGCCAATCGGTCTGCCGGATTCTTCAACCTCCATAAGTCTTCTTCCCTCTCAATACTGTCGCTCATTTTCTCAAGTATTTTGGGCGCAAAAGGCAATAAATTGAATGCTGGTTCTGGACTACCGGCTATGAGAACGGATTTTTTTTCAATCGATTCCAGAAATTTGGAGTTACCTTCTTGCATCCCAGGTTGGCGGTGGTTATTGTACTCGAGCTCTTTAACCTTGTCGTATTTACTATCATCGTCTTCGTCAATTTTGTTATCAATTTTATTATCAACCGATTTGACTGGATCTGTTTTTGGATCAGCAAAAACGGATGATCTGGATTTGTCAACAAGTTTATTGGAGCTCGAAGCATTTTGGCAACTATTTGAAATGAACTTTTTTTCAATCTCCCTGATATTATCAGGTGTCGGTAGCCACTTATCAAGTGTTAATTTGAAAATGTTTCTGAGATCTTGTATCTCTTTAGGTTGATTGAAAACATCTGTCGTCAATGACCGATGTAATTTATCTTCAGGAGTGTCTTCGCTTTCATTCTCAGCCGAAAGGACTGTGAGAGCTCGCTGCATAATACGGTTCACTGAGTGGCGACTGAGAAAATTGGTTATTTCGCAATAGTTTAGCTTCAAAGTTCTCGGAAGCTTTATATTTTCGGAGTTTACGAGAACATTCCAAGCTTGTTCGCTAGACAATTCTCCGACAAAGGCTTCTTCGCTTGTGTAGAAACACTGTAAATAGTCGTGGAATAGGAATTTTAACTCATTCTCATTTTGTCGCAGTTCATTCAATAGTTGATTAAATTTCTCCTTGCGCGATTCTTTTCTCTTCGCCCTTAAAGTGATGTCTTCGATTCGTGGCTCTTTGCTCCTTCCACCAATCCTACAAATCTGTTTTTTGGGAATGAATTTCATCACTTTCATCAGAAACTCGTCAAGCGCGTGATTTTTATAGGTCAGCAAAAGAATCGGTCGGTCTAGTTGAGGTTGTCGTGATGCGATGAGTTCAACAAACTTTGTGCCCACAAATGTTTTTCCACATCCGGGAGGTCCCTGAATGATCGAAATTTGATTACGCAAAATGTGTTGCATGGCTGCGCATTGGCTTGAGTCTAGAATGCAGCCGTTTTGCGGATTCTCGCTTAGTTTCTTGATTAAATCACCCACCTTAGCTTTGAATGTTATGCCTTCTGCATCCGTCAGATTTTTGGTTTTTTGATCTTGATGACCAGTTTCCGGGCCGGATGGTACATTTTCAGCTAATCTGCTGCTACTCTGTTCGGACTGAATTGAACTTGGTGAGTAACCGCGACTTGTAAACGCTGGATTTGTTGGTGAGTATATCGGACTTGTCGGTGAGTAATTTGGACTTGATGGTGAGTAAGCTGGACTTGTTGGTGAGTAAGCTGGACTTGTTGGTGAGTAAGCTGGACTTGTTGGTGAATAATTGGGACTTGTTGCTGAGTATCGTGGAGTTTCTGTTGAGTAGTTTTGACCTGTTCGTAAGTGTGATACTTTTTTTGAATGATGTAATTGTTCTTTTTCCGGACTTATAGGGCGTTTCAATCCATGACTTTCATATCTATGAAAAGGCCTTTTCTCTCTAGTTTCATTCTCTGTGTTTTTGTTGGTATTCAGTGGGAATAAAATTTGACCGCTAAAATGTGTACAGCTTCTTAAATACTCAGGCTGAGTTTCATAGCTTTTCAAATAAACCAGTTCCTCTGAAAATGCAATGGTATCTGGATCCATATTTTTCAGGTTGTCCAAAACAGGCTCAAACGCCTGGAAATATGCTGGGTTCTCCAGAATGGAAATATTCCCACTTGAGAAATGTAATTTACGAATGAGATGTTCCACTGATGTTTGCTTCCAGTGAGTTGAATCCAATTGAATAGCAAAAGAAAATGCACTATTTGTGGTATCTTTATCTTTTTTCGGCCGATTCTCTTCTGTCCGAATAGAAATTGTTGCGAAGAAGGACGATGCGCTTTCGTTTAGCAATTCATTTCTGGAATGTCCTCCTGAAGGTAAAACGTACACCAAGTTCCCTCGTTGAAGTTGAGATTTTTTCAGCTTAAATCCAACGGAAGGGTGAATTTTCATCAATAAATGAATTCCTGTGTCAAAAGAAACTCCCACAAAACAGATATTCTGGTACAGCTGCACACTGTTCTTGTCACTTTGAACAGAAAAGGACTTTTTCTGGATTACCTTTCGCAAGTCATAATTGCAGTTTTCTCTCAGCAGTCTGAAATAGGTTTCGATGTACTGAATTTCGGATTGATACGGCTCACCGATTTTCACTGGCATTAGTTTTCTCTTAAGTTTATTACGAGTCTTTTCGAGTTCATCGCTAATCGGGAAGTTTGGCAAATCATTCCATGCAAACTGTTCAAATTGACTTTTGTCATTCAGGGAAAGTGTTGATGAAGTTTTGAGGCATTTTACCCAAATCATGTCGGCCTGACTATCGCGAAATAAAATGTCCATAAATGGTAATAGTTTGTGACATTTTTCTTTGCATAACAAGCTAGCGCTCAGGTAAAACTTTTTGATTTCAGTTTTCAACTGATCGTGTTCAAGTGTCGCGTATGTAGCAATATTTTCATTAAAAAGTCCAAGGAATTCCCACTCCAGAATAGTTCCAATAAATTTTCTGACATAAAAATTAAACGTTTTTGACTGATCTGATATTTTGTTGACTAGAACTAATTTCTTCAATGTTATCGCGTTATCTGATAACCCAACGCCAGAATTGAAAAAAAAATCCCAAACTGTTATACATCGTAGTTGTTCAACGAATAACATCTTTTTCCATATTTCCGGTTTATCTTGACTGATTTCATCTGTCATCTGGTCGAAAAAATGCATTACTTCTTCATTGGTGCGTGTGGCCTTTAGTTCTTTTATTTCGCAGTTTGTTGCAGCTCTTTTCTTTATGCAGTGTGGCCGATCGATCCAAATTAGGTCACCTGGTTTCAAAAAATTGCCCAGTGGTCGGACGAAATCCCGTTTGTTTACAGTGAAGTAGTCGGTAGCGATGCACTCTTTTATGTTTTTGTCGACAGGTAGAAGGGAAATTTTTCCTCCTTCCTCCCATTTCACCAATTTCCACTGATCGCATCTGACATTCAGCATTGGTCTCTTACGTGGAGGACGGGTATTGTAACGAGTTTTGGCGCTGTTCGGAAATTTACCTGTTTTTGAACGTTGACGATCTACGTTTGTCATGTTTCGTCGTAGTCTCTCGCTGAAAAAAAATTAAATCAAAACATTTATATCAAACAGAATTTTTATCAAACAGATTGGACAAAAGTTAGAATGAAAAACTCTGATTTTCCTGACTGATACTAAATTTGTGGTCTATGCTGTGCTAAATAGTTTTTCGTTTTTAAAATGTAAGATCTAGAAGAACTGGAGCCGATATTTCAGTGAATTGATAGCTTGAGACTATAAACAAATGCACTCGCTTTCTCTTCAAACATTTATTTTTAAATTCATTCTTATCAATTATAAGACCAATCAAAAAAGTTCTTCAAGTTGATTTTTTATTTGAATTGATAAGAATGCTTGTGTTAGGAACGCTATTTTCAACACATAAAAGTTGCTTTTTGATACTGCTTAAGACATTTTTTATTGATAGGTTAAAACTTTTTAAAAGACCGCTTCTGGTGCCGATATACATTCTTTTTGAAGGGTATCCTGCGGCAGCTAAAGAAGGACATTTTTGCGCAAAAGTTTTCAAAATAGCCCAAGGGTATCATTTGGGTCTGTTCCGTTATACGGTCCAAAAAGATATTTTTGACAATTTTGAAAACGGGAATGAATATGTTCAATTCTGATTGGTTGAAAAAGAAACCAGCCGATACGAAAGCTGGAAACCATTATTATACCGAAGCTCATTTCGCTTAAAAATGCAAAAAAAGACCTAAAGCATTGCTATTTTACCAAACTACCAACTAAATTTCAAGTCGCTTGTTAAACTATTCTGTGACAAAAAAAATCAGTGAAGTGGCTTCAAGAAAAAAAGATTTTGAGCAGGTCTCGAACTAGTTCAAAGAGTCATCCAATGAAATTACAAATTTCTGAAAAAATGGCAGGTGGCGTTGCCGTAAAGAGTGTTGTTCTGAAAGCTATGGTTTGGGAAAACATACGTTTTTGGATATTACCAAGCTACTATTTGAAGACATTGTTGTTTTTTTACGAGCTAACGACTAGAAAAGTTTGCGAAAATAACTAATTTTAGCCGAACTTCGACTGTTGATTGGATCTCTTATACGCAAGAAATTTGTGCGATGTCGTTGATCGAAAACCCGACTGTCATCCCGAGAGGAAAAAAAACTGTGGAACTTGATGAAAGTTTGTTTTCACGCCGAAAAAAAAACAACATCGGAAAAATTTACCCCGAACAATGGGTTTTTGTCGGACATTGCAGAGAAACTAAAGAAAGTTTTTTATACGCCGTGCCGGATCGATCGGCACCAACCCTCATACCTATAATAGGGCAATGTAAACGCCCTGGATTCCTCATGTGTTCGGACGAGTGGAAAACTTATAACAAATTAGTGAACGAATGCTATCATCATGAAACTGTCAATCACTCTCAAAGTTTTGTCGACCCAATAACATTTTGTCACGCAAATTCTAGTGAGTCTAAGTGAAGGAGCGCAAAAATGAGGAAGAAACGCCATCGTGGAACAGCTAGAAACCAAATTGATGCGTATCTCTGCGAATTTATGCCGAGAGAGCGGCAAAATTCAAAACCGGAATCAATTTTCTGAAATTTTGATGGAAATTGCTCAACTTTGGCCCTCCCCATAACGCCGCAAACTCTCAATTTGAATATAACACGATTGAATATTATTTGTTTTGTGTTCTGTATATTGTCACATTTATTTTGTTTAAAAAAAATTTTGACGTGTGATTTTTCTTTTTTGGGCCGTATAACGGAACAAACCCGTGCAACTTGACACGTTTTCTTGAAGGGTGCCTTTTACTGCAAATTTTCTAATCATTTGTAAGAAAGAGCTGTAATACTCGCAGCAAATTGTGTAAGTAGTTGAGATTTAAAAAAGTAAGAAGTGAGATCAATACCCAGCATTCTGAGTCCAAAAGTTGAACAAACAACTTTCTTTTAAAACTCACCAAAAGATAATGGTTACTAATACAACACCACAAAATCTAAATACGTTGTAGAAAAAACTATGTTTCGGGAAAAGTAGTTCCTTCGACGAAGCTTTTGAAGCATTTTGGAACCTTTCAAGTAGCAACTTAAATAACAACATAAACAAAACGTTAACTCGGTTTTATCAGAGTTTCTGGATTGTCTTCTAACCGATGTGCGAAGTTTTCATATCATTCAATTTCTGAGACATCTAAAACAACCAACTCGAAAAGCTGGAACATCATCAGATTTCTAGAAACTGCTGCTCTATATACTTTTTATGAATTTTTGAGACAGTCTTATAAAACTAGTAATTACTGTTTGAGAAATTTTGTGAAAACGTAAGCTGTAATAACTGCTTGTCGAAATTCCGAACTGTTTGTCGAACGGATTCCGAAATAAAACTAATAGATGATGCAATCTTAGACCTGGCTTGGCCACTACTGAAGAACTTCGAGAAAAAAGACTGGCTTGGCTCTATGTTTATATTATTAGACCTGAAATGGTGTTTGGTTCAGTTGATAAGAAAAAATAAATAAAAGAGCGAGCTAAACGAGATTAAAGACTGGCTTGGCTCTAGCTGTACAATAATAGATCTGAAAAAACTTTTGCCTCATTTTATACAGATACGTTTTTAAGAGATTCTTTTAAATGAGACAATGCAAGGAAAATTTCGCAGCCGAAAAAAGCTAATAACAAGTGAAAAAAAAATCAAAAATGAGCGCTGATTTTCAACAATCAGTTTTTTTACTAGCGAGATTGCGAGTGTTAGTGTATTAGAACGAACCTTCTTTTTTTCTAACTTAACTCGCAAAGTGAACAGTAAAGTGTTCAGTATTTGGTGGCAAAGTATTCTTCATTTGGAGGCACTTTTGCCATAATCACGATCTGTAGCCTGGAACTTTCTTAGCATCTGCTCTCTGCTTTATTTGAGGCTAGTGTTTGTGACTATTTAAGTGTGCGTGGCTGGGTGGATAGTGCTTGAAATTCATATTCTCTAGGGCGCCGTAGGTCGCAGATCGAATCCGAGACCTAATCGAACGATCGCTAATTGAACTGATCGCTAGTGTTTGCGAAGTGTTAAAATTAATTTCTCCCTGAACTGCTAACAATTAGCAACGACTCGTTGGAATCGTTTTGTAATAAAAAAGAGATCTCTCATTTTTGATAAAATTTTTTTTGAGTACGTAATGTTAATCCCTTTATTATCTTTTTTTATCATCTTTGTTTTAATTTCTAAACTATATTTTTAATTTTTTTTGCGATGGTTTTCAACTTTCTTCGTAATTTTTTTGGTAAATTTTGCGGTATTTTTCGTCAGCTTACAAGATGCAAGTCAATAAAGTAAGCAAACAGGTTACGCTTATGGAGATTCCACCAGACAAGTTGATGCCTCTTTGGTTTATCCGAAGCCAAGCTAAATTGCGAACTTACGCTTTATCATTATATCAAAGTTTAGTTACAAGTTTCTGGCTTGATACAAAAATTTTATCACAATTATTTGAAAATTTTCTGGTAATTTTGCGGTAATTTTCTAGTTTACTTCTTCGTGCGATTTTTCGAATAAAAATTTTGAAGGTAGTCAAAACACTCAAAATATCGGGGTGTTTTTAAAAAAAAAACTCAAGCAACTGAAGCCATTTCACTTTGTCTTAATCAGTTTTATTCTTACTGGCATTCAAATGAG